CTCTACAGTTGACATACAGATGACTCTACATTTCACATATAGATGACTAAATTTCACATATAGATGACTCTACAGTTGACATACAGATGACTCTACAGTTCACATATAGATGACTCTACATTTCACATATAGATGACTAAATTTCACATATAGATGACTCTACAGTTGACATACAGATGACTCTACAGTTCACATATAGATGACTCTACAGTTCACATATAGATGACTAAATTTCACATATAGATGACTCTACAGTTGACATATAGGTGAACTGTAGAGTCATCTATATGTGAACTGTAGAGTCACATATAGATGACTCTACATTTCACATATAGGTGACTCTACAGTTCACATGTTGTATTAACTAGAACTCTATAGTTTTTGTTTTACTTTTAAAACGTAGAATATGCAAATTCTATTGATCATGTGTGTATTATGTAATAGGACTATTGATCATGTTTATATTAGAACTGTTGCTCATATGTTTATTAAGATAATTGATCATATGTGTCAGGACTACTGATCATACGTCTATTAGGACTATTGATCATGTGTGTATTAGTACTATTGATCATGTGTGTATTAGTACTATTGATCATATATATGTATTATGGCTATTGATCATGTGTGTATTAGTACTATTGATCATACGTCTATTAGGACTATTGATCATGTGTGTGTATTAGTACTATTGATCATACGTCTATTAGGACTATTGATCATGTGTGTGTATTAGTACTATTGATCATACGTCTATTAGGACTATTGATCATGTGTGTGTATTAGTACTATTGATCATACGTCTATTAGGACTATTGATCATGTGTGTGTATTAGTACAATTGATCATATGTCTATTAGGACTATTGATCATGTGTGTGTATTAGTACTATTGATCATACGTCTATTATGGCTATTGATCATGTGTGTGTATTAGGACTATTGATCGTGTGTGTATTAGGACTATTGATCGTGTGTGTATTAGGACTATTGATCATGTGTGTATTAGGACTATTGATCATGTGTGTATTAGGACTATTGATCATATATATGTATTATGGCTATTGATCATATGAGTATTAAGACTATTGATCATGTGTGTATTATGGCTATTGATCATATGAGTATTAAGACTATTGATCGTGTTTATTACGCCTATTTATAATGTGTGTGTTAGAACTATTGATCATGTGTGTTAGGGCTATTTATAGTGTGTGTTAGGACTATTGATCATGTGTGTTAGGGCTATTTATAATGTGTGTTAGGGCTATTTATAGTGTGTGTTAGGGCTATTTATAGTGTGTGTTAGAACTATTGATAATGTGTGTTAGGGCTATTTATAGTGTGTGTTAGGACTATTGATCATGTGTGTGTGTTAGGACTATTGATCATGTGTGTGTTAGGGCTATTTATAGAGTGTGTTAGGACTATTGATCATGTGTGTTACGACTATTGATTATGTAGGATGTTGACACGAAGCTCTCAACGTAGTATGTGTTACTGTCAGCTGGGTCACTGTAGGTCGTGTCCGTGTTATAGCTCTTGTGAATATTTGAA